GTGAATAACTATGCAGCAAGCATCACCTGGCAAGGTCAAGGCAACAAAGCTGAGACCCTTGAGGGATGGAGGTCTGAGTGATCCTACCAAGCAGGCAAACTAGACGGGGCGAAGCGCTAGAATGAGGGGCGGATAGAGGAGAAAGACAGTATCAATTACCATCTTGGGACAAGTTGCAACCAGTGGGTTGTAGCTTGTTTCAGTAATCCTTCTATAGTAAATCTTTTGTAGAGGTTCCGGCTGGCTACCATCTTTAACAAAATGGATTTAACGTGGGATACAAGGGGATCTCAGTGGTGCAAGGAGCAACTGCACCAGAGCCTGGGATGTCGGGTACCTCATCTCCTTAGCTTCCCTCTGATTTTAGCTGTTGCTGTGACTGACAGTTCTTTGTGACTGCAAACGCATCTTGTGCTGACAGCATTCCCCCTCAAGCAGGAGTCTGCTTGTATCACCACTTGATATTCCATTTGTTGATATTGAATCTCTACCAGAATCCAGTGGCAAGTTAAGATTTGTTTCTCAAATGGGGGATAGCCAGCAGAAAAGGGCATAGTTTTACTTCAAACCCCTATGGGCCTGCACCGTGATTCTCCTATTGGAGTTTTTGGCAGAGGCTCCCGAACAATTTCTCTTTTGCTACAGACACTTCTCATACCATTGGATCTGCTGGGTCTCAGGATCTAAGTGGCAGGGCAGCTTGAGCAACTTAAACTTGCTGCGGAGCCTTGTCTGGCTCTGGGCCCCACTCGAAACTGGTAGCCTTGAGTATTAATTGGTAAATGGGGTGGAGAAACATGCTCCAAGATAGTATATGTTGCTTCCAAAATCCAAACAGGCCTACCAAGCTTTGTGTCCCTTTATTCATAGTGGTCAATGTGAAGCAATCTGTCTCTCATTTTAAAAGCTATATTTCAACACGCCCCAGGCAGTGAGACCCCCTAGAAACTTCATCTATGTGTCAAGTCCTTGAATATTCACAATTCTCCCATCTTCTGGAATGCATATGTTCTACCAAAGTATCTGGATGCTTGCTACTTCCTGCTCAGCAGCTCCAATTAGCATAATGTCATCAATGTAATGGACTAGCATGATGCTCTGTGGGCTATCAAGACGATCGAGGCCCCTCTGGCTGTGTTATGCCGGAAAGCAGGAGGTTGCCATAGCTCTGGGGAAAAATAGTAAAGTCATAACAGCTGTCATGCCACACAAAGGCAGATTGCTTTTGGGCTGAAAAAACATTTTCCAGTTGCCAGGGGTTCTATTGATTTGCTCCAGTAAAGACGCCGCATCCAGGTTGCAATTATAATTGGATTCACTACCTGATTACGTTTATGATAATCCATAGTCATTCTTAAAAATCCATCAAGCTTTTGTATCTACCAAAAGGACAAATTAAATGGGATTGTGGTAGGAATAACTACTCTGCATCTTTCAAGCTTTTTTGGTGGTGCTAATCTTTGCAATTCCCTCAGGAATGAGTTACTATCGTGATGCCGAAGGGGAAGATGGTCTCATCTCCTCAATAGCTAGCACACATAGGTCTAAGCAACTACAAAGTGGTAGAAGTACAATCGTCCCTATCACCATTACTCCCAATGACTCACTTGTAGAATTCATGTTTCCTGTTCCATAATTTGGGGCCCTGACAAGTTCCTATTCCTCTGTGTGTGTGTGTGTGTGTGTGTGTGTGCGCGTGCGCGTGCGTGTGCATGCACGCTCTTCCGCCAGGGGACTGGAGGATGTGGCCATGGTTTGGCTACTCTGGGCTCCTCATGCCGGTGGGCCAGCAGACAATGATGTTTCTACACTGGCAGGCTAGTTGATCCTGATCCGCATGAATAGCAAGGGTTGCTATTTCATAATGGATAAAGAAAGAGTGTGTCTGGAATTCAGGGGATTCACTGGGTTATCTCTCGGTGCTTCTCTGCCCAGTGATAACTCTGAATGGGTAACTGCAGCAACCATGCCCTGACAAGAGCATGGCCAGGGGGCTGAAGGTCTGAATCACCCCACCAGGCAAGTAACCCAGGTCAGCCAAAGTGCTGTCTGAGGGTGAGAGGAGCCTAGAATGGGTGGGAGAGCAGAGCCATGGTGAATATCAGTTCTGGCCCTGGGACCAGCTGTAATAAAGGGATATAACTTGGTTTTATAGCCCTTTATAAGGAGGTGAAACTGGTCACTGGCTTGAAGAATTGGATTTAAACTTCCTCTTTTGGGTAAAAAGTGAGAGCATCATTTTTTCTGACACAAGATCCAGATATAAATGGTTATAAACAGATTTAAATGGTACAATGGATGTATGTACAAGATCCAGTTTATTTCACTCCAGATATGCTCAGCCTGCCTGGCCCTCTCCTCTCTCTGGGACCTAAGCCACTTGCCCTATTTTCTGCCTAGAGTGGCCCCAGGGATGGCTTATTTCATTCCAATGGTCATAGCCCTGGCCACTGTATCTCCCAGCTGTGGTAGCCTCAGCTTCCCATTGGGGTTCAGGACCAAGCATCAGCACAAATTCTATCAAATCACTGCCATAGGAGCCACCGCAGCTCCAGCACTATGTCTGACCTGACCGGACCCTTGGGGGCTCTGGCTTCCCCAGTGACTTGCCAGAGTGGTCAAGTATACAACATGAAGGTCATACGGAATTAGTGTTCCATAGGGAGGATTTGGGTCCATGAGAGACAGAACATGGGAAGGCACCCACAGATAAATGGCTTCCTTTCCCTTCCCCAGTGGATTGTTTTTAGCTGCGGTGGTTCCACGTGGCTTCTCTGGAGGTGTCCTGTGAGCAACTCCATTGAGCATTCTTATGAAGATGGTGACAGCTCAGTAAAGCACCGCCACATAGGTGTTCTCCCGACTTTCCTGTGTGATTACTCCTTTTTTCCTCACTCCTGCTTCTTTCCCAGTAAAGCTTCAGCACATATGCTCTGCCTCAGGCTGGCTCTGTGTTCTAGGAAATCTGGTTTAGGAAAGAGGTGTGGTCAGAGAATGGAATATCTGAAATTGAAATTGTAGTGGGATTGAGGTTATTGTAACAACAAGGTCTACAGTATAACCATGGGAGGGAATGGCTTAGATGGAAAGGACGACAAGTTCACGGAGAAGAGAATATCAAAGAATCTGGAGTCCAGGCACTGGAATAGCCAGCAATGCGGATATGGAAATCCCCAAGAGTGATGTTGGAGTGTTGGAGAGAGTGATCCACGAGCTAAAATCTTCAAAGCATGAGGGATGGGATGGAAATGCCTGCATACAGAAGAGCTGTGGATGGTACAGTCTCTTCACATTGTGGAAGAAAGGGCATTTAGGATTAGCAATGAGGAACAAGGAGAACATGTAACACCTCCAGGCCCAGTGATACAAGGGCTGTAGGAGAGCAAGCAACTACCTCGTGAGAAGATTGCAAAGAAAGTAGTAGCCTTAGACAAGAATGACTTTTCAGAGCAAGAAGATGAAGAGAATAGTCACGAAAGAAAGTGAAGATGCAGAATATTCTACTGATGAATGACCTTGAGCTCCAGAACACAGTGGAAAGCTCTCAGGAGATAAGGAATTATGGCAGATGGGGTCAGAAAAGGCGATGTACAAGCTGAATGGGGATTAGAGCTGGGGAACGTGGATGACTTGAGTGGCCACCTGCACAGGGCTAAAGGGGCTAGTGAGATTCATCCTGGTGGGCCCAAGGCACAGAGTGATGGAGCAGCTGCAGGGGTTCAGGAGAAGGAGTGTGAGCTCTTGCTCAGAGTATGCATGTCTGGGGGAACCACCTGGCCCTGCTGAAGGAGGTGGGGGTGCCGAAGGAGGTGTGGGGTCCTGCAGGTGTGGAGGGTGGATCCCACCCAGCTCTTCTCTCCTGCCCTCTGTGGACAGGGAGGCCTCTAAGACAGCGGAAGTGTCCTCTTAGTTGAGTGGGCACACTAGCCCCTGCCAGCCACAGTGATATAAACACTGGATGTTCTCTGAGATCTTGCAGGGGCGATGTTAGGCCAACCTGTCTGTTTCTTCCGCTGTCCCTTGATTCTGTGTTCTGGCAGGTGACTGTTTTTCTTTGCTTGCACCTGGCATATGTCTACTTCTTTCTAAGACACCATTTAACTTAGACAAACCTTCATATCCTTTTACCTTTCATTCCTTCCCCTATTTTACATAACTCTCTGATTCTTTATCTTCTTATGAAAGGGAGTCTATTTTTAACTTCTTGACATTTCTCTCATAACATACTGTCTCTTTTTCTGTTACTTTGACTCCTTCTTTTACCTTAACTGACTTTGTCCTTTTTTGAGCTTGTTCAGCCTGACACAGCTAGTGCAGACTGTTTCCCCTCCTTCTCTTGGCCAACTTTTCAGAAGGACTTAGTGATCTCTGTACACAATAACCTGAATTTACTGACTTTGTGCATTTTATTTCTATTAATTAACCTTGATAACTTCCCTTCTTCTAATACAGTAGATTTCCTCTCTGCTCAATAATGCCCACCTAGTATTTCTCCAGCTTTTACTTACATTTTTCCATCTACCACAGCGCTTCCCTCAGCTTCTACAAAATTACCTTCACTTTCTACAAATATCCTCCCACCTTCTACAAGCATTCTCTCACCTTTTATAACTATTTCCCATTTTGACTTGTGTCTTTCTAAGATTTTTTCTCCCTAAGCCTACTCCTATAGCTTATATTCTGGAATTTGACCAAAATACCACTGCATGACTCACATAGTTTGGGCTGATCAATATAAAACTTTAAATCAATAACATTGCAAACTAGTGTGCACATTGCCACCACCTTTTAGTCTCCTTTGTGAAATGTTCCCTCTAACTACTTAGGATTATCATGAGCTCACAGTTCCTTTAACAGACTCGACTAGTGCTGATTCACTGGGGTCATTGTTGCCCTCTCGGAGTTCGTGTGGTCAATCTTCGGCCACTCACAGCCCTGTTTTTAGGCTGGCCTTTCTGACCTTGTCAGTTCTGCCCAGGGATCTCTGAATGCAACCTTACCTTCTTAACTGAAGACAGGATGCTCCAGCTCACTTTGGAATGTTTCTCACTTCAAGAGATGGAATCAGTTTTTTCCCCAGAATCTTAGCTCTTCTTCTAGGAGAAAAGTATTAGGGTCAAAATCTGGGAACTAAGGATGCACGTTACCTGATCCACTCCTCAGCCAGAGGAAGGCAGGTTGGTGCTAGAGTTTTCTCAGCCCACTTTGATGCCACAGAAAGAGTTTTCTCTTCCTTTTGAATTTTACCTCCCTTTTTTTGGTAAGGAGTTATTAGTATATCATCTACTTTTACCAAGGTTCCTGTCACTTTTCTCTAATGTGAGATATTACTAATCAACTTCCTCCCTTTTTCCAGCTGATAATTCTTCCATTTTCCCACCAACATTAATGTACAAAATGGTCAAACAAAATCGCATGATTTAATTACAATGGTGTCACTCCAGTTTACAAGTCTCCATTTTATTTTTTCCCTTAACCCTCAGCTGAGGCATCCTTGGGCTCCAAAGTGTGCATGTCCAGACGACCTGACTCATGAGCATCGTTGCATACCAATCACGCAAAAAGAAGAGAAATCCCAGCCTTCCTGTCCAACTTTCACCTCACAGAGAGTACCAAGCGCTTCATAAAGGAGGAATGGAAACAGATACTATTTCTCAAGCTTTCATTTAAACGTCTCCTCAGTTTCCTCCATCTGAACCTTACGATTTAAATCTATTTTCTTCACTTTTATATTTTCCCTTTTTCTTGGTGCTTAAAAAAATTCTTTTTGGTCACTGGGAGTTTTAGAGCTGATCTCCATTTTCTCATAGGTCCTAGGCTCCATCTTTTACGTCCCTTCCTAATCTTCCCAATAGGCTTATAGCATTGTTTTTAGTTCCTTTATTTATTACATTTGTAACTAACGGGCATATTTACTTCTTAAACTCTAAGATGTTTCAGCACCTATAGACTGTGTCGCTTGACCCCAACTTTTAAAGAAGGTGGTGCCCTTGCTCTTCATTTACCTTTGCTTTCACTTTCCATCTCCATTTCTATCACCTTTACTTTTATCTTTATATTGTCAAGGTTAAAAGTATTTACATTATCTTCTTTTGCCACAATACATTCTGTTCAATCACAAAGTTGAAAGTCAATAAGCAAACGTACGAAGTCTATATCAGGGGAGCGTATTTCTGTTGTAACAAGGGAAAACTCAACCCGAACTCATTTACACAAAAAGTGGGTTTATAGGCTCACACAATAGAAAAGTCCCAGAACTGGGCTGGCTACAGGTGTGGCTTGAAGCAGGAGGTCGTAAAATGTCATCAGGACATGGATCGTCTCCATCTTTTGGCTCTGCTTCCCACTGTGGTTGGTTTCATCCTCAGAGAGGCTCTCTCCTCCCTGTGGTTTTGATAGGGCTGCTAACAGCTTCTGGGGCTACCTCATTCCAGGCTTACGTCCAGCAGGAAAAAGTGAAAATCTTTGCCTCAATATTTCCAGCTAAAGTCTTAAGATTCCTTGTGACTGGACATCTTAGGGCACGTGTTGCCTCTTAACCAATAATGTCACTAGCGAGTGCTAGGTATCGGTTAGCTTAAACCTAATTTGTGTGTTCCATGCTTAGACTTGAGGGCAGAGCCCTACCCAGATCAAATGGCTCATTGGAGAAGGGGCTTGAGCTAATTGGGGAATAAATATCATGTAGTGCTTTCTTTCCTTGTAATTTTCCTGTCTCTCCCTCAGCCACCAAATTTCCTTACTCTGAAGCAAAGCCCTTCTCCCCTCCCCTCATGAATATCAATTCTTGTAAACAGACGCCTAGGAGAGAATTTCAGGCCTCACATCCCGAAATTCTGAGTAGGCTTTGCTGAGAGACAGCCAGCTCCTGAGACCCTCCTGGAAAGCATACCAAGAAGAGAAGAGAACTGTAGGACAGATTCATCAGGGAACCATTTGGAAGCATTTTTTTTAGAAATAGAAGAGAACGGTTTTCTAGAAATAAACATGGCTTTCATCACCTCCTTAAGCTTCTCCAAATTCTCAAGGATATCAAATCTCTTAAGTCCGTATCTTCTCCAGCTCCATCCTGCTGGAGTCCCCCGTCCTCCTGCTCGAATCTATTCTAGTTGGGGTTCTCATCCTGGGACCTCCCCTCATTATCTTCCTGGCTTGAACTGCAAGTCTTTATCTTGGATGGTTTACTCACTTATTTAAGAACATTCTCAGTAAGTTCCTTATGGGGGATATGTTGGAGATAAAAGTTCTGATTCCTTGTTTGTCTGAAAATGCTTCTAGTCTACCCTCGCACTCGATAGAAAATTTGGCAGGATACACAATTAAAGATTGAAAACATTTTCCCTCGGAACTCTAAAGGCATTCGTATTACACTGTCTTCCAGCACCTGGACTGTGGACAGGCAGTCCCATGTGAGTCTAATTTTCAACTCTACTTTAGAAGTCTTTTTGTCTTCCATCTTTGAAATCTTTTAGAATCTTCTATTTCTTCATGGAGTTCTGAAATTTCACAATGATTTATCAAAATGTGACTCTTTTTTCATTCACATGCTTGGAATTTGTCTGATGATTTGTGTCCTTTAGCTGTGGTTAATTCCCCTCTATTATCTCTGATAATTTCCCACCCTCTGTTTTATCCGATTGGAATTTCTGTTATTCTAATGTTGCTAATCTTTTTTCTTGTATTTTCTGTCTCTTTATCTTACACTGGTTTATTGAATTGTTTATTTTATCAGTTATATATTTGGTTCCCAGGAGCTCATGCTCGCTTCTTGGTTGTCCTTTTTCATAGCCTCTTGTTCCTGTTTTATCTTGGCTACTGTATTTCATCTTGCAGCCTTTCAAACATCCGGTAATAGTTGGTTGTTTATTTTTAAGAGTGAGCCATAAAGACTGGACTGGGACTGTGAACATGTGCTTGGCTTGTTTATTGGAGGGCTTTGTTCTAGATGGATCTGGTAACCAGCTGGCCAGAGTGCAGACATTAGAGATGCATGATCTAAATAGTTGCTTGAGAGGCAGATGCTTGCTTGCTGGGGTATCTGTGTGGGGGTGGAGTGGGAGAGGATATAAGAAGGGTATGGTGTTCTCTCTATAGAACTTCAATTTATTTACCAGTTTTCGTGTGTAAATCTTCTTTGCTCCTGTGGCTGTTCCTGGTGTTTCTGAGTCTTACAGTTCTCTTGGGGTCTGACTCTACTCACCTTAGTCCTCCACCCCTTTCGCACATTCCAGGCTGCAGCTTCCTGCACCCCGCTTCATCAGTAACCACTTCTCCGCCCCTTCCTTTTTCTTAGAAATGTGTTGAAATTTCTTGTACACTGACATCCCACTCTTGTATTCTCTTTGTTGTGAGTTTATATCTTTTTTTTTTTCTATCACATAATGGGCTCTTAGGTGGAAAAAGACATAAATCGTGTTTTCTATCTTGACTCAGAAGTCAATAGATTATTCTATTGTGTGCAAAGACTAAAAGAAAAAAATATAAAAGGACTCCAACCATTCAGTACCAGCTGGCTTCTTAGAAGAAAACCCTGGGCATGCTTTGCTCCAAGATGGATGTGACTCACCATGGACATGCTGGTAGCGGCTGCTCTGGGCTGCAGCTCAGCTCTGCAGGTCTCCACTTTCCCTGTCCTAGGGAAACCCATAGAAAATGGTTAAGATGAAAGGATCTTCCTAATGGGATGGATGCAACATAAATCACATTGGCCCAAGAATGTTATCCATGCCCAGATGTTTTACTGAACCCTCTCTATTCCACTCCATGCCACTCTTCCATCCCACCCCCACCGCGCCTGAGCATTTCAGTTGAATCTACCTCTCACTGGGCTCTCTTTCCCAAAGCTTTCCCATCAGAAGAGGTGAACTTATCATTCATTGGCTTATTTCTCTTAAGATTTAGTTATGGTCTGATACTCATTTGTCTCAATGATTTAATTTTGCTTAGGGGCACATGTTTAATAACTTAGAATATACTTCTGACTGTATCATATTGATCAATACAAAATGGCTTTTCCCCCTTGATACATTCTGAGCCAAAACATACTCATTATTTAGATCCTGGGCCTTGTCTCTATATCAAGAAAGAGAAAGAAAACATTCCTATATGTAGGATGAAACTGGCTTCGCCTTTTTAAATGCTAACCCACAAGTTTAGATGGCCACAAACAGAACTTTATGAAATATTCTTACTCTAAATAAAGTGGATATTTGCCACAGAGAGCTCCTGTTGTTTACTGCCGTTACTTGTCACATTGTGGGTGCTTGATCCATGTTTGCTGGATCGATGAGTATTGGGTTAGAACTCTTTAAATATCTTTTGCTCAGGTCAGGATTCGTTCTAGAGACTAGAAGAACACTCATTATGCAGGTAGCAGTAAGTACTGTAAGCTGTAGGGAGATGGGGGGTCTAAGAGGCTGAAAAATAGAGGAAAGCTGTTGTTGAATGTTTGGGAAAGGGGAAGGAGTCATCGTTAGAGTTTACCCACCTTTCAGTTCTATCTGGAGCTGACTCTGCTTCTGAATTCATTTAAAAGGTCATTGCACAGGATGTTTATAGAACATTATTTTTAATAGTGGAAAATCAGAAATAGAATGAATGTCTAACACTAGAAAAACAGTCACTGGATAGAATAATAATGTTGTCTTTTTAAAAATAGACTTTATTTTTTAGAACAGTTTTAGATTTACAGAAGAATTGAGAAGACAGTAGAGAGAGTCCCCACATACCCCACACCCGGTTTCCTATATTATTGATATCTTACATCAGTATGGTACATTTGTTACAATTAATGAATCAATTATTATTAACCAGAGTCTATACTTTATTCAGATTTCCTTAGGTTTTTGCCTGATGTCCTTTTCTGTTCCAAAATCCCATCCAGAATACCACATTACATTCAGCTGTCGTGTCACCTTAAGCTCCGTTTGACTGCGGCAGTAGTTATCATGTATTTTCTTAAAACGATGAATATATTAAAAAAAGAATGTATTTATATGTGGGTATAAAGACTAAAAAGAAACACAGGAAAAAAAATACTGTGTTGAGGTGCTAAGGTTATGGTTGAAATTGACATATTTACATTATTGTCTTTTTTTTGATCTGGTTCTAGTGTTGACTGAATGATAAATTCTGAACTCTTGACCTTGACCTCTATTCATCTAATTTTTATACCGTTTTTGACTCACAGATACGCAGCCTACAGATGTTGGCTCCAAGACAGCTGACAGGGACTCTCAAGCAGGCCTCAGCTGAGGTTAGGCGCTCTGAACTGTGAGTAGAATATTTCCTCTGAACTTTTTATCTCTTCCTCCCACCATCATTTTGAGACTGCAGTAAAGTAGGTGCTTGGTGCCTCAAGTTTAGAAAAGAAAGCTTCTTCTCAATTTCTGAGCTTAGAAGTTCGATTCTTTGATAGGCTGAGAGGAGAGATTCCTTCATGTAGTTGGGGAATAAACACAATGTAGTTCTTTATTTCTTTATTTTTGTTTTTTCTCTCCCCCAGGCACCTACCGTTTTCCCCTCCTTCGGCAACAAAGCACTACCCTACCCGCCACGTACAGCTAATTCACGTACCTCACACGCCTGGGCTCTGCTGACACTATCCTGGGATACTCTGCCGCCCAGAAGAATGGAAAGGATGCAGAGAAGAGGGGAGAACGGAGCAACTTTTTAGAATTTAAATGGTTTTGAGGCCATTTTGTAGAAGTAGAAGGCCTTAGAGGCAGAGAGTGGTCAGATGCTCATCAACTTCTTTCCTCTTCTTCCTGGAAGACATCTGGAGTACATGTCCCGACCTCCCTGGCAGGTGGCTTTGGCTATATGACTGAGGTCTAGCTGACGGAATTTAGGCAGAAGTGATATATGCCACTTCTTCAAGGTGTGGCCCATCAATCTTCTCAAGTGAGGAATGTTGGTGAAAAAGAAACAATCATGTTTATCCAGCCCATCTCTTAGCTGCTCAGCATACGTGCCTGTCTTCTCATATAGACAATCCCAAATGCCCCCATGAGCATAATCCACATACCACCTCAAACTCACTAGTGGGTGATGATCCAGTCACATGGAACTTCTGCATCCAGCTCCCAGTCCGGAATCTCTGGGTACAACCTGCATCAGGTCTGGAGATTGTCTCCCATGATCCAACAACTCCTGGACTAAGTAAGGAAGGCCCCCACCGCCCCCCAGCAGTTCCAAGACTTTTAAGTCTGTCACTAGCAACACTTCATTTCTGCTATCAATTTCTGTATCATCAGTCCTCTTGGGCGACAGAAATCCAAGATGTTTGGCAAAGTGAGATAATCCTGAGGCCAAAAGAGAATTAAGTTGGTCTCTGTGGGTGGTGGCATCTACAGCATTTAAATTTGGGATCTGTGAGGCAGCGATAGTCCGCCACACAGTCTGAGAAATACAGAAAGCTAGACTGCTGAGAGAAATGAGTGGCGAGGTCTTGCAGAGTTTATACTTACAGCTTTCAAATTCCCTCCTGAGGTCTGACTGCACTTCCCCCTTGGGTCCTGTGAGACACATCCGCATTTTTATAATAATTTACACCCTCCCTTCCATTTCCTAGTTCTTTTACAGCTTAATTAGTTTGAATTGGTTTTCATAAATTGTAATTAAAGAATCCTAACTAATGTGATGAAGCCAGGTTTAGAAACACAAAAGGAAGGAGGCATCTGGTAACGATGAGAAGGTTTTATCGACTTCTTTGACTCAAAAGAATGGATTCCGAACTCAGATATTCTAAACTCTTTAATGATTTCCAGTTTTCTCTCTATCTGGAAGTGATAATCACCTTGTAGAAATTCCCCTACGGAGAGTTATATAGGAATAATATCTTTAATTGATTGACATTTCAGTGCGTTTAGAGATCCTTGCTAGAAGGAAAATCTTTGTTAACCCCTGAATCAGAGTTTTAGGTTAACAATCCTCACCATTATTCATTCATAACACCCTCATTCTCGTCTCAAAAGGCCACGCTTCTGAATATTAGTTTGGTAGCGCATATAGAATGTATTGATAGGGTGGAAGCTGGACAGAAAGAAACAAATTAGGAAGCAATTGCTACAGTGAAAGGGAAAAATTTTTTCCCAGATCATGACAAAGAAAAAGAGGGAATGAGTTTGGGAGATATGCAGCAATAAATTGACAGAATTTAACAACTGAGGAGGTGTGAGGCCTGAAGGAGAGGTCTGAGCCAATGAGCACACAGCCTCCGTCTGCGCATTTCCACTGTGTTACTGTATCATTGATATTGAGCTACATCACTTTTCACTCTTCATACTGGCAAAAATTAGAAAGCTCATTATTGCTCAGTGTTGTTGGGGATATAGGAGTATAAGGACTCTCATACAGTACCAGTGGCAGAACAGACTGGTGCAACCATTCTGGACCCCAGCCTGGCAGTACTAAGTAAAATTAAGATTACATGTGCCTTATTACCCAATTATTTTCCTCCTGAGCCTGCATCCAAGGGATATTCTCACACTTGTCCAAAGAGACATGTGCAAGAGTGCTCGTTGCATGTTTTTTCTTTAAGAAGTGGTGAATTGGAAGCAATCTATTCACCCGTCAATGAGGGATTGAATAGGTAAAATGTGGGGGATGCACCTAATGGAAGAGTTTGTATCAGTTAGAAGCAACAAACTCAATCCGGCACCATGGCTAGGTCTTAGAACCACAGTACTTCATAAAAAAGAAATAGTGAGCCATAGTACAAAGCCATTTACATAAATTTAAAATACATGTATAGGGGCCAACCCCGTGGCTGAGTGGTTAAGTTTGCACACTCCACCTTGGTGACCCAGGGTTCGCCGGTTTGAATCCTGGGTGTGGACCTACACATGGCTCATCAAGCTATGCTGTGGTGGCATCCCACATAGAAGAGCAAGAATGACCTACAACTAGTATGTACAGCTGTGTACTAAGGCTTTGAGGAGAAGCAAAAAAAAAAAAAGAGAGAAACATCGGCAACAGATGTTAACTCAGGGCCAATCTTCCTCATCCCCAAAAAAATACTGTATATAACATAATACATTTTGCAAGAAACATACAAATAAAAGGATGCACACCAACTAAATTAGAGTGGTTGCCTATTTGAAGAGAAGAATGGGAGTGAGGAATGGGGAAAAAAAGGATTAAATAAGTAAATAAAAGAAGAAGAATCTTCGAGTGCACCAATGATGACAGAACACCACGAACTAAGGAGTATGAGGGACTCAACCCTCTGACCTATGGTGAAAAAAGACTTCCATAAAGGAGGTAAATATCTCATGGATATCACTGAGACTTGAGGAACCCCTCAAGTGGCACTCCTCCTTGGAAGGCATGCTTTGATAAGAAGAAACACATGTGGCAGAAAGGAAGGCAGAGAAGCCTTGCATATCAAGATGTGCTTGACCATGTGAATGTCCAGGAAGCTCAGGTGATGAGCACGATAAGAGTTATTAGGTCAAGATAGAGGAGAGAGGCAGAGAGCATCGTGGGAATAGGATTCAAATTTCCTGACTGAATGAAGGGAATGGATAACACATCCTTGAAATATACCAAAATGGACATATTCATTGGCAAAACCAATTTAAGCTGAGAGGTATTGGAGGTTAAGGAGAGATAGCAATAAGCAAGATGTGGATAATGGAGTGAACCAAAAAATGGCCATCACATTCCTTTTGAAAGTGAAAGCATATTTTTCCTCAAGATTATAAAGGATCAGAGTTCCCAAGGAATTGGGTACCTGCCAGCTCTAACCTGGAGAATTTGTGAAGTCTAGGAATAAGAAACTGGAGTCTAAGGAAAACGGAGTCTTCTTCTAGAAATGAGAATTTAGGGGAAGGTGAGGGAAGAGTTGAGGACTGGCAGGGTGGTAATAGTTGGGAGGGAGTGTGGGAGTGAAGGACTAAATTCTATACTTGGCAAGAAGTATTCCAAGTGGGGAAGTAATATCCCTTTGGAAAGTATAAAATTTAACCATATCACATAATTGTCCCCTGCACCCTGAAGCAGCTCTCCCGGTTACCTGAACCTCAGAGGGTGCCTGTCAACACGGGGAGACCGGGTTCCTCAGGGAAGCTGATGAGCAGGAATAATCCATTCCCACCTTTCTCTCATCTCCCGTTGGAATTTCCCCATGTCAACCACCTCCCTTCTCCTTTAGTCAGATTTTTATTGGAAATAAAAACTGTGCAGTCAAATCATTAAAATAGATGCTCTTGGTGAGGGGTAATTTATAAGGGAGGTCATGGTTATTAGACTTCCCACGTCCATTTAGGCCTTGACGGAACATTCTGTTACACTCCTAACGATTAAGTTTGAGTTCAGCTTGATGGGTATGGGTCTGAAACAGAGCACTCAGAGACTTCGAGACGAGAAAATAATTGAGAACAGGAATCCATCTCACTCGTCTTTGTGATTCCCTGAGCCTAGCCTGGTCACTTAGCTCATAGAAAGTACCTACCGCAGCAGTGCCTGCAGGGTCCATGAGGATTGACCCGGAAGTGCTTCACCCCCTCACACATAAGCTCAGGATTCACGCTACCACCAGAGCAGGGCTGAAAGTACAAGTGGGGTCAAGTTGGCTGTGGAGGGGCTGCCAAAACTAGAAACTAGGAAGGCTTTTCCAGCTTTGGGATGTGGAAGATGGCCAATGATTCCTAACTTTCCAATTTGCTATAGATAAATATCTATGAACAAGACGTTTATAGAAATAGTGAAAAACAAGAAACAGATTTGAATGGGTACTGAAATATTCTGTGGCTGTTAAAAGGATGACCGTAAAAAGTGCATGTGCATATTCATGAATGAGGGGAAAGGAAAAAGAAAATACTGACATTAAAATAGTTTCTGTGATAGAGTGAAGAACCTTTAGGTGAAATTTTAATTTATTTTTATAATGTTGCAAATTGTAACTTTAAATGTTCAAGAGAAACAAGAATCCACTGAACTTTTCACATCGTACCTAGTCAGTGGACAGATATGAACTTGAAAACAGCATGTGGGAGCCCACGTTCAGGACTGCTACTCATTTTAGTTCTCACCACAGGCTCTGAACAGTGGGGTGGACGATTTCCTCTCAATTTTTCATCTCCTTTCCCGATATCATTTTGAAGATAAATAAGATGGGTATTTTGCGTAGCAAGTTTAGGCAGGGATCTTGTTCCACTGCCTTGGAAATTAGGTGGAGAATATTTTCTAGGCCCCCAGGGAGAAGTATCCAGGGACAGTCGCAACCCAGGCAAAATATCACTTTCAATTTCCTGTTTTCCTCTGTCTCTTCTTGAAACTGGTTCCGGACCACCTACTTTCTCCTTTCCTTTAGTGTCAAAACACATCAATTAATACAAATAGATGCTTGGGGAGCTGCTGCCAAGTGTGCACACACTCAATATCTGATCAAGCTCCGCTGGAAAACTCTACTACGCATAAGTCCCGGATAGCTCTAGAGGAAAGGAGTGATCCGAGTAAGCAGGGCTGCCATGGTACTGTTGTCCAGTTCGTGCACTGTCTAAAGATGCCTGGCTGAGGAGGTGAGCAAGAGCGGAAGTTCAGTTCCCACTTCAGACCCCGAGCTGTGCGCACTTGTAGGAGCTACTTCAAAAGGAGTACCATTTTCTTCTTACAAAGATGTCCACTTGCCAAGACCGTGGCACTCAGGGACTGTGTCTGCTCAAAAGAGGGCACTTTTGTCTGACTCATCTACATAGAAGGAACCTTCTTCCATTCATCCAAGGCACATACTCTTAGCAGACTCCCTGAGAGTGGGTTAGAGTTACTCAGAGAAATCTTCTTGGGAGAGAAGGATTTCGAGACAATTCTGGAAAAAGAAAAGAAGATGGTTTTTTGGAGAAAAACTGGGAGTGCACAGACTTATTTAGAGCAGGATGAAGTATGGAAGATGCTCTCGGTGCCCTGCCTATATCTCCTTCAGACTACCCTTTCTGTATCTGATGCATCTCTGTACCTGTACCAGGGCTGTTCCAGAACTGCGGAAAGCTGCCCTGCCACCCAAATTTAGTATTCTGGAAGTGCTGGGAAATTGACACTCCCTGGATCAGCCCTCTGCCAGTGACCATTGAGGCCTGATATAAAATACCCAAGTTGGGGCCAGCCCTGTTGCCGAGTGGTTAAGATCGTGCGCTCTGCTTTGGTGGCCCAGGGTTTTGCTGGTTTGGATCCTGGACACGGACATGGCACCACACAGCAGGCAGTGCTGAGGTGGCGTCCCACACAGCACAACCAAAAGGACCTACAACTAGTATATATAACTATGCACTTGGGGGCTTTGGGGAGAAGAAGAAAAAAAAGATAATAAGATAAAATAAAATATGACAGCTCTCCTATTTCTCTGCTGAGATGATTCTGAGGTATAGTTTATACTCTTTTCCAGAATTTTCTTGTGGAATTAAGCTCCAGTTGGCCTCTGTAGCAGTTGGCTTAGTAACATACCCTTTTCTGGCTGCCTTCTTTACCCTATGTCAATTCCCTAACTTGCCTCCAGGTAACCCCTGCACCTCCCAAATAAACTACCTGTGCTGGACTCTTTCCATCAGCTTCTGAGGGAACCAACACGAAGACATCATTTGCTGGGCTGGAGCAGAGACCGGTCTGGAATTGAGAGGAAAATGGATACATGGGTGGGATGGGGGCAGGGGGCAATTTCTTTAAGGACTTAGAGAGCAGACTGAGAGTTTAGACTTGATTTAGGACACTATTCTTGCACTGGGTGGTATATGAGTGTTTTTCTTACAATTTATTATTTTCACATTTGATGTATTAATTCCTAGGTGTCTACAAATCCTGCATTTTCCATTGAGTGCTGGCTAATAAAATCTTGTCTGAAGTCAGAGACTGCAGCCTTCTTATCTGTTAATTGCCTGTAAGAAGAAACTCCAGAGAGAGAAGTGTTATTAAGGTGTAAGATAGAGATGAAATCAGAGCTATGAAGCTGTTCTCGAGACTTTGTTAGAGAATGATGAAGGCTGAGAATGGTCACGAGGCAACAGCTCTCATGAGAGGATTTGTTATTTGTAGCCATCCTGTTCAATATTTTATAGCCTTTTAAAAAATGACTTTATAAGGTTATCTGAAAAGTCTCCTTAAAAAGATTGGGACTTCAAAATTTCATGTGATTTCCTATGGTAAGAAACCTTGAATCTCTAAGTGCTGCATGGTAATTGGTTGTCATGGGAAACGGCATGACTGTAACTGGGGTCTGTATTCCTAAAGGTATATAAATAGCCAACATCCCTTTGTTCTGCAGAAGAGACTTAAAATTCTATATCTGACTCTTCTCACTTAGGTCGAGAATAAAATTAATAAAGTCAGTGACTCTGGCAGACTCTTTGTCCTAAGATGACACACTTGAGAAATTGAAATTAGAAATTTGGCAAGTCTATCATCTTCTCCCTAACTAGCAGGCTTAGAAACTGGATTATTCTTTCTTAGAGGTAGTTCCCCCTGCCACGCAAGTTCAGAAACCTACTATCATCTTTTATATGTGGACTCTTATTAACCAATCTCACAGAGAATGCCATATTAAAAAAATACAGAATACCCAGTTTGTTAATTCACAATGGAACTCTTTCTGCAGAGGGGACCGGATACTCGTATCTTCTGATCAGAGCACTTTTTTGCCTTGTGGGCAGGCTGCCCAAGGAGTCAAATTATAATCAGAAGTTTGTTTGGTGTGCATGAAATCAAAACAAAGGGAGGGGCCGGCCCCGTGGCCGAGTGGTTAATTTTGCGCGTTCTGC